ATTATNTATATTTATTATTATATTATATATATATATATATATATATATATATATATTATTTAACAAATAAATTGATTTTTTATTATTAAATTTATTAAATAGTTGCCTGAAATAAAATTTTCTTATTAATATTTACTTTTTATATATTTTAACAAAAGTTTTATTAATTTCTTAAATAAAATAAAAATAAAAGAAGATAAAATAAATTTTAATTTAAATTGTATATAAACATTATTAATATTTTAAATTTTTTTATTAAAATTATGCATTTATTTTAAAAATGATTTAATTTAATATATTGTTAAACTTATTTTCAAATAAACCAAAAATTAATTAATAAATTTCTTTTAAATTCCTTATAATATTAAACATATTCCAATTTTATATAGATTTATGTGTTTTTATTAAGTAAATAAAATGAGATTATTAAATATTTTATCTAATAAAAAAATAAGAATATATATAGACATGATATATAACAATTTTAGAACAAAAAGAATAAACTTATTTTAAGTAAAATCAGTAAAACCTTCTATAAATGTTTGTCCGATATACAAATCATCTTATTTAAAAGCAATCACTACTTATATGCAAATCAGGCTAAAATCTAAATTTATTTCTCTAATTTTAAAGCAAGATTAAATTTATATATAAGCATTATAAACACAAGAACATCACCTTATTCAAGAATTTTAACTATTGAATTAAAATTAAAAAACAATAATTAAACAAATTAAAAAAAATACACTAAATATAACTTAAAATATTTTTTTTTTAGATTAAGAAAATAACAATTAATATATTTTTTTGTTCTCCAAATTACAACTAAAGCTTCTAATTATTTCATTTTGTAGTATAATCGGTAATTATTATAATGTTACACTTATTTTTTGAGTTGGCTGGGACTTTTTTTTGTGAGATATCTGACATTTCTCAATTGTATGACCTTTCGTGTAAATAATGCATCGTATATTCAAATTAAGTTTTTAATCAATGCAATTTTTTTAAAGGTACTAAAAAGCAATATCAAATTATTTTCATGTTTGTATAAATTAGTTTTTTTCGTTTATTAAAAAAATAATCTTTGAATAAAATAAATTCATCAAAGCTTTTTCATGTCTTTTTAGAATATAAAAAACGCTGTTTTTTAAGAAATTTATTTCTATGTTTTTTTTAGAATATAATTAATAGGCTTTTTTGACAACTTTAAATTGAAAATTTATTTTTCTTCAAATTTTACCTCTTTTAAAAAAATTAATAATCTTATATATAATGTTTATTTATACGAATTAAACTCTTTTCTCAGATAATGTCCAGGAGGCTTTTTAATTATTCAAACAAATTCATAATGTGAAGATACTGCTTAATAAATACCTTTTTTGATTAAAATGAAGTAAGGAAAAACCTAATATAGTTAACTGATCATAAAATTTTAATATAATCTATAAGGATTAAGCTGATTATTTGTTAAAAATGTAAAATAAATTGAAAAAAATGTATATTTTTATTTATTTATAAATTTTCTATTTTTTTAAGAGTTATTTCTATTTTTATTTTATAAATGAGATAATATTTAATGAGTTAAATTATTTTTTATATTTTCTTTGATTTCTTATTTTATTTTTTATAAGCCTTTATCAATTAGAAATTAAAGAATTTTATTAACCAATAATATTTTTGTAATTGATTATATTTTTTAAAATAAAAATATGTTTTATATTTATGTAGTTTAATTTACATATGAAATAATGCTTAAAAATAGATTAGATTTTTATTTATTTAAAGAAACATTAAATTTTTTAATCTTTAGTATTTTTTTTTGGAAATTATATGTAAAATCCATAATATCAAATTTTATTAAGAATCATATATTTATTATTAAACATTTTTTTCTATAACAATAATATAAAATATTTAATATTTTAATATTCGCATATATATAATTTTATAAGTATTTTTTAAAATAGATAATTAATTTTTTTTTTACATAAATAAATTAAATTTTATTTAAATATTTATATATATATAACTTTATAATTCTAATTTTTCTAAATTTAATCTAATATACTATATTTTATTATATATATATATATTTAAAATAATTTTTTTTTTTTTTTTATATTTATTTAAAAAATATTAATTTTATACCTTTTTTAAAATATAAGTAAAAATTAATTATCTTCTTTTAATATTATATTACATATATATTTTTATTATTTTTTCTAATTTAATCTTAATAATATTTTTATATTGAACACTTTACTATTTTTATATTTAATAATTCTTTATTTCATATTTAAAATTTATACTTATAATTTAACTTCTAGGTCTATGTCTTCTTAATTACTTTCTTAATCTTCTTGTATATAAAGCTTAGATAATCCAATAACACACGATTTTTCCAATTAACAAATTTAAGCAATTTATTATTTTTATTTAATTTCAATCATTGTGACTTATTTATAATTATTCTTTATAATTTGCTTGAAAGAAAATTGAAAATAATTTTTGAACTAAATATATTTCTTTAATACGAAATTTTAAAGTGTTTTTAGGTTTATAATATTTATTTTATTTATGGATTAAATTAAAATAAAGAAGAGTTTATAATAATTTAATATTAATAAGAAACTAAAATAAATGTTAAGAATGAATTTATTTTTATATTTATAAAAATTTTGGTATTTTTAATTTTCTTAAATAGAAAAAAAAAATATATTATAAATTTTTTTATTAAAAGAATTTTATATTATATTATAAATAAAATTAATATATACTATTTTAATATTTTATATTTAAATGAAAGTTAAGAATATATAAATTTAAAATTAAAAAATTTTAATATTTTTTTTATATTTTTCACAAATTAATATATAGTTAGAAGATTAAAATTTATTAATTACAGTTTATTTTTATTTTATTATTATTTTAAAATATGATAAATAATTTTAATAATTACTATCAGATAAAAATTAATATTATGAAAAACACATATATCAGATATTATAAATATAAATATAAATTAATTAATTTATATTTATATTTAATTAATATTATTATTTTAAAAATCTGATATATTTATTTATAATATGGAAATAATTGCATTCAATAATAATAATAAAATAATTTTTTTCTATCTTAATAATAAATTGATATTTTTAATAATTTAATTATTATAAATAAATTTTAAAAACAAAAAAATATATAAAATAAAAAATACAAAAAAAAAAAAATGAATAGTAAAAAATTAATTTTATCATTAATATATTTAATATTTATAATCTAAAAAATAAATACATTCTAATATCCTTTATAAATATATCAATATTGGTACAGTATTCCTGAAAAATCAGCCATAATAATAAGACCAATCAATGAAAATTACAATCCAAATAATATTACTATTATTGTATATTAAATGACGATGGTTTTATAACAAAGTAAATGATTCTAGACAGATTGATTGAAGCAGTCGACAAAAATGCCTATTTTATTGAGACAAAATAAGGGCGACCAAAATTATTTATATTAAACCGTTTAAGACGTGAATACTAAATAATTGACTTAATAGATCTTTATAATTTGGTAAATAATGGTATATACAAAATTCCCCGTTCAAAAACTTTATCTTTTTCAATTTACAGTTATGAAGCAATTAAATCAATTGTTATTTAATAAAAATAAAAAGTTATGTTTAATAATAATTATATCGCCTTTTATGAAACTCCATTTTTCGACGATGATTGCAACTAAATCATGATTCTATCAAAAAATATTTAAAAATATCAGGATATTAGTACAAATAATATTATTGTTTTCGACGATTATAATAAATAGTACCTAGCGTATATGATTTATAAAGGGAAAAAATATAAAATGGCCCATTATCCTTAATATAAGTGCATGTATGTAATTGATATTGATAATGATATTGCCCTTAGTTTAGACTTATATTTTTCAGTTGAAACTGCATTTGTAGTTTAATTAATATTTTCTGGAGATACTGTTACTTTAACAAAGAAACTAAAACTGAATTAAGATAAATTTTATATGTCTGATATTTTCGATTTTGGAATTGGGAAAAAAATAATTTGCTTTGGGACTTCAAATACTTGGAAATTTTACGATTTACTTACTTTTAAGGAAGTAGAAATGACTCCAGATAGTTCGTCAATTAAATTCGGAGAATATTAGGATATTTTGTCTTTTTAATCAGTCATTATTTTTGGAAAAATTGTATATGATATATCTTATGATCAAATTTTAAATAAAGTTCATTTGATCTAAAGAAACAATTTAAATTATAAATATTACACACTTCCTATAAAAGACCATAGGTTTAGATAGTCATTTTTAAAAGGAAAAGCTTTAATTGCGGATGATAATAATCATAGTGATAAATATGTCTACTTATATTCAATTGAAAATATACTTTGTAGAGATAATGAGCATATAACTAATAATCTATAATGCGTTTAATGCAAAAGCAATGAGTATTTTAAAAACGATATATGTGTAGGGTGCCCATAAGGAACTTTTGTTGAAAATAATATATGTACTGCATGTATGCAAGGATGTATATTATGTAATAATAAATCTACTTGTATTATATGTGATTAAGGTTATTATATAAATGATTTGAAGGAATGTAACACATGTAATGCGGGATATTATATAAACACAAGGAGTAATTTATGTGAAAAATGTGATGATAATTGTCAAACATGTGAAAACGGAATAGTAAATAATTAATGTATTACATGTAATAATAATTAAGTTCTTTTATAAACTAAAAAATGTGTCGATAATTGCGATAATAAATAATATGAGGATTTAAATAAAAAGTGTTAGTAATGTGATCCTACGTGTCTTACTTGCTCGAATTCTAATACATGTGATACTTGTGAAGAAGGATCATATTTGAAAAAAAGTACATAAAAATGCGAATTAATGAATGTAAAGAATGTTTTTAGGGACTCTATTTATTTAATGGATTCTGTAGTAATGAAATTTATTGCTAAGAGAATACTTACTTAGACGAAAATGAGTGCAAAACTCAATGTCCTTAAAATAAATTTAAAAATCTAGAGACTAATACATGCGATACTTGCCATTCCTCATGCAAAAGATGCACGGAAACAGGCAATATTAAATGCTTGGAGTGCGAAAATGGACTAGCTTTGAATGAAGATGGTAAATGTGAGAATAAAATAATTAAAACATATGCTGCTACTAATAAGTTGATGTTTAAAGTATATATTGTTGTTACTGTATATATATTTATTGCGTGTATAATTTGCCATTATTTAGATTACAAATCCTACATTAAAAATAAAAAATTGAAAAATTTCGAAGAAGAAGAATGTAAATCTAAAATAACGAAATCTTAAATAGAACCCGTAAAAGGCAAGATTGTGGCAGAAAATGTAAATAAAGAAAATTAAAGGTAAAGATTAAGGTAAAAATCAGATATTCAAAAAGCTGAATAATAAATATAATCATTTTAATAAATAGACGTAAATTCACAAAAAAATAATAATAAAAATGATACAAATACAAGAAAAGGAAGTAATTATATAAGTTAAAGTTAAGCTTGCCCTGATTAAAATACCTAAAATATGTCTGGATTTAAAAATATCTTAGGTAAATAAATTATCTAAAATAATACGAATAAAAAAAACAGTACAAATGTTATTTTATTAGATGATATATAAAATAATAAAAATAACATAAATAAAGTTAATAAAATAAATATAAATAATAATTATTATTAGTATGACTAGAAATTATATTATACCCTTATTGCAAATGAATTTTTGGAAATGTATTTATTAGAAGACGATACTCAAAACTCATTACTTAGGGCTCTACTTATGTATTTTAAATAATGCTTATTTATGTTATTTTGCTTTTATTCTTATATGAAAGGATATTTTATAATGGTAATTTTAATATTTATGGGTATTATAGTTAAATAATCTTTGAAAAAAAAAATTGAAAAAATCAAAATATTAAAGTATGTTAGATATATAATTTCAAAGTTACTTTTATTAGCAATTTTCACGATATTCTTTATTTTATTTATTTTAAAAAAGTGAAGTATTATTAATGATGGAGAATATTAGAAATGGACTATTTGCTACTTAATAGTTTTTATTATAGATATTTTTTTAATTTAAAATATTATTTCATTTTTAAATTATTGTTCAAGTGTAAGAAGTTAAAAAGGATATAATGATAGGTTATAAAAATTATTAGATTTGACATTTGTAAAAAGAAATATAATTAAATTAATAAAAAAAAAAGAAATAATTTGAAAACAAAAATTTATTATTATTTATTCTATAAAATAAAATTGAAATATTTATATAAATATTTAAAATTATATATAATAATTAAATTTAAAAATAATCATAAAAATATATATAATAAATTAAAAAAATAATATAAATAATTATAATATTAATATTAAAAATTGTATAAAAAATAATAATAATAATAATAATAATAATAATAATAATTATAATAAAAATAATAAGAATTTTACAATAAAAAGAAAAAAAAATATATAAATATATAATTAATAAATATATATATATATTAATATATATATATATATTTATATTTATATTTATATTTATATTTATATTTATATTTATATTTATATTTATTATTTATATCTTTTTATTCTATTTAATAAATACAATTCTTTTTTTTTGATATTTTATGCTATATTTTTATATAATATAATTATATGCGTTTTTAATAACAATAAATTAAAAACTTATATTTTTTTTTAATATTTTTTATATAATAATGATTAATAAATAACTTTTTCTGATTTAAATAAAGTAAGGAAAAACTTTATATTGTTATTAATTCATAAAATTTTAATATAATCTATAAGGATTAAGCTGACTTTTAGATAATTATTTACAATAAATTAATAAAAATGTATTTTTTATTTATTTTGGATAAAATTTCTATTTTTTTTTAGAGTTTTTTCTATTAATTTTTGAAATGATATTAATTTAATAATTTAAATTAATTTTTTATATTATCTTTGATTTCTCCTTTTTTATTATAAATTTTTATAATATAGAAATTAATGAATTTTATCAGCCAATAATTTTTTTGTATTTGATTATATTTTTTAAATAAAATTGATTAAATAATTCTTATAAATAATTTTTTATATATTATTTTAATATTTAACTTGAAAAATAATAAATATTAAATTTTTTAGACTTAAGTATTTGTTTTTAGGAAATTATATATAAAATCCTTAATAACAAATTTGATTAAAAAATATATATTTATTATCAAATAAATTTTTTCTATATTAATAATTAAAACTATTTAATTTACTAATATTCGCATATATTAAATTTATAAATTATTAATATTATTTTTATTAAATATATATTTATATTTTATATATAAATAAATAAAAATTTATATATATATTTTTTTTATATTAATAATTTTTTTTTATATTTTATTGTATATTTGTATTTGAATATTTTATTTTGTTTTTATATATATTTTAAATAAATTATTTTATAAAAATATTTATATAATTTAAATATATTTTTATTATATTTATTTGATATTATTTTATATATATATATTTATTTTTTTTATTATTTAGTTTATATTTTTTTAGTTTAATTTTACTAATTATTGATACAATGAACACTTTTAACAAAAATATTCATTAATAATAATTTTTTTTATTTTTAATATTTATCGATTCCCTATTTCATATTTATAATTTATACTTGTAATTTAACTACTAATCCTATGTCTTCTTAATTACTTTATTAATCTTCTTATACATATAACTTAGATAATCCAATAACACACAATTTTGCAATAAATAACTTATTATTTTTATTTTATTCCAATAATTTGTGACTTATTTATTTATAATTATTCTTCATAATTTGCTAGAAAGAAAATTGAAAATAATTTTTGAGCTAACTATATTTCTTTAGTACAAAATTTATAAAGTGTTTTTAGGTTTATAATATTTATTTTATTTATGTATTATATAGATTAAATTAAAATAAAGAATATTTTTTAATAATTTAATATTAATAAGAAACAAAAAAATGTTAATTATGAATTTATTTTTATATTTATAAAAATTTTAGTATTTTTAATTTTCTTAAATAGAAAAAAAAATATTATAATTTTTATTATTAAAAGAATTTAAAATTATATTATATATAAATTATATAATAAAATTTATATAAATTATTTTTATTTTTATTAATAAATGTAAGTTATACATAAATTTAAAAATAATAAAAATTAAATAATTTTTTTATATATATTTTATTTTATTTTTAACAAATTAATTTATTTAGAAGATTAAAATTTATTAATTTGAGTTATATATTTATTTTAAAATATACTAAATAATTTTATAAATTACTATCAGATAAAAATTAATATTTATAAACATATATTATTAGTTATTATTAAAAAATTAAATATAAATTACCTAAATTTTATTTATATTTTAATTTTATTTTATTATTTTAAAAACCTGATTTATTATTATAATATGAAATAATTACATTCAATAATATAATAAAATAAAAAATTTCTATCATAATAATAAATTGATATTTTTTACAACTTAATTGTTAATAAATATATTTTATAAAAAAATAAAATAAAAAATAGAAAAAAAATAATCAAAAGAAATAAAATAAAAAATAAAAAACAAAAAACAAAAATGGTGAATAAAAAATTAATTTTATAATTTTTTTTTTTTGTTACTATAATCTAAAAAATAAATACATTCTAATATCCTTTATAAATATATCTATATTGGTACCACATTTCTGAAGAATCAGCCATAATAATAAGACCAATTAATTAAAATCCAATGTAATATTACTATTATTGTATATTAAATGATGATGGTTTTATAACAAAGTAAATAATTCTAGATAAATTGATTGAAGCAGTCGATGAAAATGCCTATTTTATTGAGACAAAATTAGGTCGACCAAAATTATTTACATTAAACCGTTTAAAACGTGAATACTAAATAATAGACTTAATAGATCTTTATAATTTGGAAAACAATGGTATATATAAAATTCCCCCTTCAAAAACTTTATATTTTTCAACTTACAATTTAGAAAAAAACAAAACTATTAATATTTTAAAAAGCCAAAATTCAATGTTTAATTAGAATTATTTCGCTTTTTATAAAACTCCTTTTTTCGATGACAATTGTGACTAAATCCCTATTCCAAAAAATGATGTTTAATAAGTGTCAGGATATTGTAATACGCATCATATTATTGTTTTCAACGATTTTTATACTTATAACCTCACGTATATGATTTACAAATAGAAAAAATACAAAATTAATAAATTTACATACAATAAGTGCATATATATGATTGATATTGATAATGATATTGGCCTTACTTTATAAAAATAAAATTCATATGAAAAAGTAGTTATAGTTTAATTATTATTTTCTGGAGATACTGTTACTTTGAAAACGAAACTGAGACTAAACTAAACTTAATTTTATATGTCTGATATTATCGATTTTGAAATTGGGAAAAAAATAATTTGCTTTGGGACTTCTAATACTTGGAAATTTTACGATTTGCTTACATATAGGGAAGTAAAAATGTCTCCAGATAGTTCGCCGATTAAATTCGGAGAATATTATGATATTTTGTCTTATTAATCGGTCATTATTTTTGGAAATATTGTATACGATATATCATTTGATAAAACTTCTGATTAAGTCCGTGTGATCTAAAGAAAAGATTAAAAAAATAAATATTACACACTTCCTATAAAAGACCATAGACACAGATAGTTTTTTTCAAAAGGAAAAACTTTAATTGCGGATGATGAAAATCATGATGATAAAAATGTCTACTTATATTCTATTGAAAATATAATTTGTAGAGATACTGAGCATATAACTAATAATCTATAATGTATTTAATGCAAAAATAATGAGTATTTTAAAGACGATATATGTGTAGGCTGCCCATAAGGAACTTTTTTTGAAAATAATATATGTATTGCATGTATGCAAGGATGTATATCATGTGATAATAAAACTACTTGCATTATATGTGATTAAGGATATTATAAAAATAATTTGAATGAATGTAAACTTTGTAATATTAATTGTAAAACTTGTCAAAATGATAATCCAGATATATGTGCTTCTTGTAATTCACCTAAAGTTTTACAAACAAAAGACTAAACATGTGTAGATGTTTGTGATAGTAATTAATATTTAGATAATACTCAAGTTGATATACCTAAATGTAGGGACTGCGATATTTTATGTCTTAAATGTGTAGACGCAATTTTTTGTTAACTTTGTGTAAATGGCAACTTTTTAAATACAAATACTTCGAAATGTGAACTATGTGATGCTCAATGTACTACATGTGAAAACGGTACTGATAATACTAAAATGCCTGTCCTGCTCACCTCCTTTATATTACCAATAACTGGAAAAAAAATGCGTTAGGAATTGCAATTAAGGCTAATATGCGAACACTTAAAGTAGTCTATGTGAATTATGTGATCCGAATTGTTAAACTTGCAAAGATTCAAAGACTTCTTGTCTTACTTGTAATAATAATTAATATTTATAAACTAACTAAACTTGCAAAGATATTTGTTTACCAAAATAATATCCGGATAATACGAGAAAATGCTAGCCGTGTAATGCATCATGCTTATCATGTATTAATAATACTTCATGTACTACATGTACTGATGATAATTATTTAAATCCTGTTACTAAATTTTGCTCACCTTGCTCCGCTAACTGTAGAACTTGTGTTAATAATGCTGATACTTGTACATCCTGTATTAAGGGCTAATATTTAAATACTGATACTAATAGATGTGAACAATGTAACGCAAACTGTGTAGCGTGCGAAAACGGACCCACTAATGATTAATGTACGGAATGCTAACTTAATAATTTTCTCACTTAAGACAGAAAATGCGTTATTTCTTGTTAATAAAATTAATATGCAGATGCTTTAAGGACATGCTAATAATGCAATGCGACTTGTCTTACATGTTAAAATGCTATTTCGTGTAACACATGTAATGCGGGATATTATATAAACACAAGGAGTATTTTATGTGAAAAATGTGATGATAATTGTCAAACATGTGAAAATGGAATAGTAAATAATTAATGTATTACCTGTAATAATAATTAAGTTCTTTTATAAACTAAAATATGCGCCGATAATTGCGATAATAAATAATTTGAGGATTAAAATAAAAATTGTTAGTAATGTGATCCTACGTGTCTTACTTGCTCGAATCCTAATACATGTGATACTTGTGAAGAAGGATCATATTTAAAAAGAAGTACATAAAAATGCGAATTATGTGACTTAAATTGTAAAACATGTATAGAAAAGGGCAAATGTGTATCTTGTAAATAGAATTATTTTTTAACTTAAAATTAATAATGTAAACTTGAATGTGATTAATCTTTTTTTCCCGATTCTTAAGGAAATTGTTTACCATGTGATTCTAATTGTTTAAATTGTAAACAATCTGATGAATGTACAGAATGCTTTTAGGGACTCTATTTATTTAATGGATTCTGTAGTAATGAAATTTATTGCTAAGAGAATACTTACTTAGACCAAAATGAGTGCAAAACGGAATGTCCTTAAAATAAATTTAAAAATCTAGAGACTAATACATGCGATCCTTGCCATTTTTCATGCAAAAGATGCACGGAAGCAGGCAATATAAAATGCTTGGAGTGCGAAAATGGACTTGCTTTGAATGAAGATGGTAAATGTGAGAAAAAAGTATAAGAAACAAATGCGACTACTAGTAAGTTGATGTTTAAAGTATATCTTGTAGTTACTATATATATATTAATCGCCTGTATAATTTGCCATTTTTTAGATTATAAATCCTATTTTAGAAATAGGAAAGTGAAAAATTTCGAAGAAGAAGATTGCAAACCGAAAATAGAAAAATCTTAATTGGAACGCGTAAAAGACCATATTGCGGCATAAAATGAAGCAGAAAATATAAACAAAGAAAATTAAAGGTAAAGGCTAAGGTCTAAATCAGATATTCAAAAAGCAAATTAATAAATAGAATAAATAGACATAAAATCACAAAAGAATAATAATAAAATTAATAGAAATCCAAGAAAATAAAGTAATTATATAAGTTAAAGTTCAGTTTCT